AGCTACCCATATCTACTATCGAACTCATGTTTCGCTGGTGTCTACTGAGGTTGAGGATATTCAGTCTACTATTAAACTGAGATCTATACAGGAATGGTTCAAGCTGTTTTTACCTTTTCTAACGGTCATTGCGCATCGCATATCACCATATCACGAAGCGAACGAAAATGACTCGCTAGCGTGACATCCTCCTGCCCACTACCTACTCGACTGCGGAGCATATCGGCACTGCTACCGTGGGACTCGACTATCGTGGCAAACGGGCATCCGATCGGATATTTGAACATTAACCGGTATGCAGGCTTTTCAAGCGCCGCCGAGTACAGAGAACCCGTGGTAGCCCAGGACACCTCGCAAACCAGAATACAGCGAAAGAACATCTTTGTGCAGTTTGATGGCTGAATTTGGAGACATATCTAGATGATGATCAAGAAAGAAGCCAGGAAGCTAAAGCTAAAAGAGAGTGTGGGACCAGAAATCCTATAGATACCCGAAGGGTACCCCTCTTGTGGGTCATGTGACTGTTACTATAGAACCATATAGCCGCTTTACGCGAATAATCTCCTGAAGTTTAAAATAGAGATTGGTTGTGCTTTTTCGTATAGAGAGCGCTTGGCTTCACCATGTCCCCAATTGGGCCACTGCTTTGGCGGAATCTGCGAGTTTATAAGATATATGGCGCCAACACTGAGGTCGGGAAGACCGTCTTCACCTCCATCCTCTGCAATGCTTCAAGAAGGATATGGAAAGACGAAGCCACGGCGTACTTGAAGCCCGTCTCTACTGGACCGGGAAATGAAGCGGATGATGAGTGTCTGATCACCTGTGTCCTCTTCGATTGTTACATTATCTATACTGACCTTCAAGTAGAAGCAACATGGAATGAGCTGCGATTACAGAACGACGCCCTAACTTGACCTCGAAATTTTCAGGCATATCGGAAAGTTTACCAAAGGCGTTACTCATCATACTCTATTTCAATACAGTCAGGCTGTGAGCCCGCATATTGCGGCCAGAGGAAATGTGCCGAGTCCTTATCCAAATAGTCGCAGAACCCAGCTAAGATTGTACATAGGTTGTCCCTGACGAGCGTATCCTAAAAAAGATCTATGAATACGTCACCAGGAGAGCTTCTGCCGGGCCGGGTTGGCTGTTCATCGAAACGGCTGGTGGAATTCATTCCCCCAGCCCATCGGGCAGTACACAAGCGGACTTGTATGCTGCCCTTAGGTGCCCTGTAGTGCTCGTGGGAGACTGGAGGTTGGGCGGAATATCATCTACAATCTCCGCCTTCGAGTCACTTAGGACTAGAGGATATGACGTCGAACGTATCATGGTGTTTAAGGACGGGAAGTACGGCAACTCCGACTATCTTACAGACTATTTTGAGCAGCGATATGGCCTCGAGGTCACGGCTTTACCTCTGCCACCTCCTCAGAACTTGTTAGATGCTAAAAATGAGGACGAGAAATCTATGCTTAAGTACTATGTAGAGAACAGTCAAGCGCAAGCGGTGCGAGACGCGCTCATTCATCTCAATAACCGACACGACGCTCGCGTCAAGGCCCTGGAGAGCATGCCCGCGGATGCCCACCAGAAAATTTGGTATCCCTTTACGCAGCAATCTTTGCTTCAACCCCACGATATTTTGGTAATTGACAGTGCCTGTGGAAGCCATTTCCAGACTCTAATCCCCAAATCATCAACAGTAACCAACAGCAAGCCTCTCCTGCAGCCGTCGTTCGACGGATCAGCATCATGGTGGACACAAGGCCTAGGCCATGGAAATTCCTCGTTGACACTGGCTGCTGCATACGCTGCTAGCCGTTACGGACATGTGATGTTAGCTGGCACGATTCACGAACCAGCGCTAAAGCTGGCGACCCTGCTCCTCGATCGCGTCCAGAACCCACGATTGAGCCGCGTCTTCTTCTCCGACAACGGGAGCACGGGTATGGAAGTCGCAATCAAGATGGCTCTGCGCGCAGCTCGCGTTCGCTACGGCTGGTCTCCCGACACCAAGATTGATATCGTCGGTCTCAAGGGGGCTTATCACGGAGACACAATGGGGACCATGGACTGCGCAGAACCGAATATATATAATGAAAAGGTCGAATGGTACGAAGGCAGGGGTGTCTGGCTAGATCATCCGCAAATTCAATGTGTCGCAGGAGAATGGAAAGTTCAAGTACCGAGCGAGATAGGGGCAGACGACAGCCAGAAGTTCTCCTATCTTTCAGACGTCTTTGATCTTGAACGGCGTATAACCAGAGGGGAGCACAAGACTTACGAGAAGTATATTCTCTCTGTTTTGCGCCAACACTTAGACGAAGGGCGCAAATTCGGTGCCTTGATACTCGAGCCAGTAGTACTAGGGGCAGCAGGCATGGTTTTAGTGTGAGTGTGAACACCGATTTCCTTCTCACTGGAAATTTCATTTCTCAATTGGTATCTGACGGTGGACTAGCGATCCTCTTTTTCAGCACACGTTAGTGCAAGTCGTGAGACAGAATGCATCTCTCTTTGGTTCAGACCAGCTACTAAACTCTCTCGATGACGATGATAAGACATGGAGGGGATTGCCTATCGTCTTTGACGAGGTCTTTACTGGACTCTACCGCTTAGGTCGGGTAACGGCGGCCTCTTTCCTCGGACTTCATCCCGATATATCAGTCCACGCCAAGCTATTGACCGGAGGACTTGTTCCACTATGCACCACACTGGCCTCTGAATCCATATTCAAGGCTTTCGCCAGCGAAGAGAAGTCCGACGCGTTGCTTCATGGTCACAGCTACACTGCTCATCCCGTCGGCTGCCAAGTGGCAATCGAGTCCCTGAATCAGATGCGGTCGCTTGAGATAAATGGTGATTGGAACTGGGCCAAGTCTAACGGTTGGATGCAAGTCGATTCTAGCATCCATACTAGTCATGCTGGATCGCAGCCCCAGGTTTGGTCTATATGGTCGTTATCTCTAGTACAAGGGCTATCTCGCCAGACCGACGTGGTAGCAGGTGTTTGGGCCCTGGGTAGTGTGTTGGCAATTCATTTGCATGCAGCGGATGGAAGAGGGTACGCGAGTACTGCCGCTGAAGGTCTGCGCAAGAAACTTCTATGCGGCACTGAGAGTCTATTAGGAATGTCGTGGAATGTGCACACCAGGGTGCTTGGTAACGTTCTGTACATAATGGGAGGCCAACGGACTACTAAGCTTGAGGTGGAGGAGATTTCAGACCTGCTGTATGCGGCTCTCAAGGAGTGATTGCAGCTAACTGATCACCATACCACGAATTTTGAGTTGCGAAGTCTAACTATTGTTATTCTTTTCTTAAAAGATAAAGAGAAAAGAGTCGAGTCGAGTCGCACTCAAATTTGTCGCCATGTATTCACCTATAATTCTCATTAATGCCGTGCTCTTCAATTTATTCGCATACTACTCTGCCCCAAGGGGATTTTTCGTAGAAGTAAAGATTCAGATAAAAGCTCGTGTGTGGCAAATCTTCTGTCGTTGAAAGTTGAGTTTATTTCATCTTTAAGACTAACAGCGCGGTGGCCATATAACCTCGTAACAGACGAATCTTAGTTTGTCTTGTATTGCTTGAAAGTTTTGATACTCTGAGCCGTCTTATAATCCCAGCAGCCATTTAAAATATGATTCAGGCCGTCTTGGTTTACCTTTGGTCACAATAGATTACGGCAGCTGTAATGCGTTTAAATGTACATAATCCGAATCCGAATATGAGAAGAGCGAAGCGTGCTTCTTAATGGCCGTTTCTTGCATGTAGCGTCAATGACATCAAGGGCAGTCCTAGAAGAGAGCCGGGATTCTGAGTTAACGTGAATATAATGTAGACGCAGGCTTGTTCAAGATGAGTTACCACTTGGTAAGAAGCTAGAACTATCGTATCTGCAATGGGAGGGGAGGTTGGATTAGATTAAACTTACGTAGATAAAGAAGGGGGGAATAACTTGAGCCCTTAACCCCTGCTGGAATAGAGGCACTGGCTTCTATTCTTAAGCTAGTTTTAGAGCAAATTCTACCACAATTGGTGAACCACATGGTTTCGTGGTGTAGTTGGTTATCACGTCAGTCTAACACACTGAAGGTCTCCGGTTCAAGTCCGGGCGGAATCATTTTCATCTTTTATCGCTTTTCCAGCAAGATCTTCCTTTTGGCGGCTACTTCGTATTAACTGTATGAAGGTAAATGTTGTATGGGATCGCTGTCGTGCTCTTTTTGGGTTGCTTTACGAGGTTCTGTATACTGGCCGCATAGGGCGATGCCGAGCCTATTTCCCCGCCTGCTTCACCTACTGCTGGTCGATTGACATGCTGCCTGGATTACCGATATTGGAGGCTGTGCCTGGTGAGACCTGGCTTTGTGTCGATTGCATATTTGATTTGGGCGCGTAGATTTAGGAAGCTGGTGCATTGGTATTGGTTTGGCGTTCTGGGAGATACTACGTTACGTTACCTCAGCTTACCAAGAGAGACTGGAGGGAAGTTGGACGCGGTTGTGCGCGATGCGTAAGTTAACATGCTAAGAGATGACATTATAAAGTGATTCCGAAAGCGGGTTTACCCCTAGGCGAGTAATTTGAATGTTATGAAGCGAAAAGTAAAGATCTAACAGTGTTAGTGAAACACTGTTATGTACCGTAGATGTAGAAATTGATATTGAGTGTATGACGTACCCATGAAGTATGCTCTTAACAAAACACCCAGGTGCACAGAGGATAGTATCGCCGTATGAGGATCTTGTCCCCGACAGGATGAACAACCTACAGAATGACACCAAGAGAAATATTACTGCTCTCTGATTGTCTAAAGAACTCATCGTCTACCACTATAGTTGCTCACTACAACCCCCTGCGCGTAGATATCTACCGACTAGATTTCCCTGAATATGATGGGATGTTTTCAGACAACCTTCGGCCGTGAAGGAAGGTATAGCTTGCGTGAGTCTTCCACTAAGTATTAAAAAAGGACTAAAAATCAAATGCTCCCGATCGGGGAATCGAACCCCGGCCACCTGCGATCTGTCGTGTGATGACAAGCAGGTATCCTAACCACTAGACCAATCAAGATGTTATGGTTTGTCAGTGCTGTCGAAGGAACTTGACGTTGTCGCTCCGGCGAAACGGCGTGAGTCCGCTCTGCCATCGCTTCGTACCATCTCATACCGTCTTCCACTTGTGCATACCAAATGGTGCGCACGCAACAATAAACAGCATTTGGTGACCCATAAACCCCAACCGAGAGATTCAGGAGACCGACAATCTTCACGAGATATTTCTGACCGACTGACAACACTGTAAAAGCTGCGCAGTTCTTGATGGCTATTTCTCCTATGGTTGCTGACCTGATCACAACCCCCTTGCTGTCCACAGACATGCGCTCCTCCGCAATACTCTCCCTCTCTATCATTCAAGCGGCTTAGACGTGAGGACGGCCGTCCTTAGCTGATGCCCTTCCAATACGTCGAACACTCGTGCTCACTCGGGTTGGGATGGCTGCGCTGATCAAGGCGTAGGCGGTACTCCCTCTTAGCTGTCTTGCCAATATCTACCGACCCTCAACAACTTGCTAATTATACCTAGGCGTTTTACCCTGTCGTCGCCTACGGAACCTACACCTGGCATATCCAGGACCGTTCTGCAGCCCGTTGATTCTGAGTGGTTTGCGTGATGCGACTGTCCGGAGGCCGGTGAATTCAACAGTGAGACCATGTGATAAAAGATGCACGCACTTTCATGATGTCATGTTAGAATCCGAGCAGCTAGGTCCGAACTTACACTTCACTCTTGTTAGAGTCAGGGTAGGCGCGACGCCTCGTCAATATAGCGACGCATGTAACTGAGGGCTCGAGAGACACAAGCAAGAGAAATAGGTAAAAAGAGTTTGATCGTGTATTTATCGTCAATGGGTCCGTAGGGCTGTAGATGTAAAAGAAAAATATAACAATGAGATGAAACAAGTAAAAGTCATGAAGCGCTATTCAAAATTTGCTAGGAAGTAGATTCGAACAGACTTCGCTTTGGGAACAAGGTGCCAAAAAAAAAGCCTAAATAGGTAAGAAGCAAAGCCCCAGACCCCTTAGGGACCGAGGGAATTGAAATTCAAATTTGAGTTTGTTTGTGTTCAGCTACTTTGCTGGAAGACGGCACTTCTATCTTAGTATATATCTAGGTATGATACACCCTGTAGGCGTCCCGGCATCCTGATTGGACGGTAATGAGGTTCCGCGCCGGTGACTCACCTTATGAGCTATGCTGGTCGAACCGGCTTTTACCAAAGTGGTTAGGCGGTTCCGAAACTGACAAATGGAGGCAAGACTACGCTGTATTATATGAAAATCAACACATGAAGTTCTTGTCTTTATTTAAGTTAATTTTTCATTAAATGGACTGACTCTAAGTGCCGCTAGAAGGAAGACTTTGTTGAAGTGGTATACTTGTGAATTTATGGGATGATAATAGGGACCAGCTCAGCTAATTGGACAGTGAGTGGTCCCTACTTTCTGACTACTCATTTTCTCTAGCCGCAACGCGCTCTGGTTGGCTTCACAGACTTTACTGCTAGCACTTCATTCCATCGCGCACTTTCGGAGAAATAACCAAGGCAAGGATGCCACCGACGTAACCGAACAGTTTTACCTTCTTGGTCGATGCAATGTAAGCGCTCATAATACGAATAACTCCTACCCGACTCCAGTCATGTTCAGTACAGCCCGCGCTCATCGGCTGAGGGTGGACATGACGCGTCTTTCCGCCCGATGCGTTTCTCATTGGTACGTATAAAAAATAGATCGAAGCAGGCGAAGATGTAGAAAATGCCATTCGGTCGATACAACTGCCGGAAAAGTATGCTCGTAAGCTCAAAGCGGCTCGGATTCAGTGTTTGGATCTCATAGCCACTCGCTACTTATGGTCAGTGATCAAGGTATTACGGCTTCCGGGATGTAACAACACGTCGCAGGAGTTGTTACATATCGCAGACGGTTCTATGGACGATGATGTGGCGCGACTGTGAATGCTCAGCCTCGCTCCTCCTATTCAAGACACAACACGTCATCCGTCATCTGAAAAACTAAGGCGAGCGCTCGATCTGTTCCTAACTGCTAAAGTCCTGTCACTAGAGTTGCGCCTGCAGAAGATATACCTCACTGGGGAACTACTAGAGACACTGGTAAGCAAATCTACCCAAACGCTCAGGTATTACCAGAACCGTATCGCGCGCACGGCTAAGTTTGACCACGAAGAATGAATCGACAGGGTCAGCCAAACTTTCCACCCTTCTTCGCGTTGCGGTTTCTCTTACGCCGGTCGGGTGTCTATACACAACTCCTTGCTCGCTATGCGCATAAAGGATCGTTACAGGGCGGGTAGCATCAACTCTTCTATTGTCTGAAACCACCGGCAACGACAGTTACCTTCCTAAAGACACGTTGACTTCCACCGTGTGACACGCGCCGAAACCGGTAGCCTTGTCCTCCGAGTCCAGAACAATATGTTGGTCACTCAAGGCTTTTGAATGAGTGATATTGCCGATGAAACGCCAGGCAGCCGCATATCGATACTGGCAGCGGCGTTGACGCCATATTGCTGGAACGGCCGGAGTCCGGGAAGTAGGGCCAGCTGCAGGAGAAAGCAGGTTCTACGACCAGCGAAAATGAGATGGGACAGGAGTTAGAGACACGGTTCCCAAGAGCTTCCCCGGCCGCTCGTATACAAGTGACGAATTCTTGGGGTCTAGATGTACCTTCCCCGTGCGAAACCTGCGAAAGGGTATGCCTAGACTGTGACGAGGACTACGCGGGGGTCACTTGAAAGCTCGTTACTGACACGTGGTGCAGATAGATAGGTGTGACTCATTTCCTAGCGCGCCCCGATGCGTTCACAAGGCATTTGTACTGCTGCCTGTTGGCCTTGCTCTAGCGCCTCTAAGGTCGTTGCTAAAGGTTGAGTCCGTGCTTGCGCCGATGGCGAAGAATCTGGTCGCGTGGGGTGAGTAAAGAAACGGTCGCGAGGCCGAGAGTAGACGTTGGCCCGGCGGAGTCTCATGCGACCACGATGTAATCGGGATCCCCGCTGACCTACGGCCAGGGAGCCTAGCCTGAGACACGGGCGTTTGTACTGAAAAAAGCACTGTCGTTCTTCAAGTATATGGCCCTCAAGTCTGATCTGTCAGAAAGACATTCGAACTCATAATGTTCTTCATCTCTTGACTCCTAACGAATGGATTAGTCCTATCCTAAGCAATTTGTGATATACACAACAACGATCTTTTCAGGCAAAGCCGACTCCCTTGCGCCAAGGTGGGCGTTCGAGCTGAATTCGAACGCAGTACGGCACATGACTGGGAGCTTGGCTCTCTCCTAATTCGCACCAAAAGGCGCGAGGGAGCTATTCAGATAAGGGATACTATTATTCGCCCTTAACTACTGGTCCTTAGGTGTATTGGAAAGTCTAAGGAACACCACGGGAGCTACGTTGATCTAGTCCATCGTGAGGCTGACCGACGTACTATATGCTACAAAGGCCTGATTATTTCGAGCATGGATACACCTGTGTTAGGAACGATAAGATATCAGCAATGCATGGAAACGGGCCGCTAAACCGAGACGCGATATGTACGATGATATGAGACGACAAGACAGTCAAGTTATACTTGTATATTGGCTAGGTGTCGAGTGACTGTCTACCAGTCAAAAACTCGCCCACAACTCCTGGTAGTGTAGATAGCGTGCAGTAGTGCATTAATTCGCCCCTGCTCTGTTTTAGCCGGTATGAGGCATGAGCTTGTAATGTGAGCGTGGCTTGGTATCTTGGGGAAACAGCGATCAAACACAGATGCATGCAATCTTTCAGATCTCACAGGGCTTCAGCTGAAGATTTTCTACCTTTAGTGCCGGAGAACTTAAGCGGACGAATCTATGTGCGAATGCCTTTTTCATCGTCATCTTATTTAAAGAAACGTTAGCTGAGGTAAAATCATGTACCTACATGGCTACAACTTGTCCACATTCACCGTAAGGTTCTAAATGTCAATAACCTTCTGAGGCCGTGTTATACTCTGCAATGAGTCGGGTTATATCTGATACATGCCTAGCATGATTTACTCCGAGCAGCTCTTGATTCAAAGGGTAACAGCCGTTCTCAAAAGGTTGATCAATCTTTTCATGTGGCGTCATCATCAAGACCATCGGGGCCCATATTCAGAGGCCTTGGACTACTGAAGTATATGAGAATAGTCCGTAGCGCCTATTCGTCTTTTGATTCTGTTGCCAAACGCACACCTTGCGAGGTAGACAGCTATCTTTTGATGACAGGTCTACAGTTTCATCGTCTTCATCAGGTGTGCCACTTATAGTTCTCCTGAATATGAAGAATGCGCCGGCGTCCTCGTACCGTAATGAGAATCTGCAATATAGTGGTACAACTTCTGAGTGTCAGGCACTTCTGTCAGATTTGCGTTGGATCTGTAATCGAGCGTCAAGCTGTCCTACAATGTGGCACGTTGTACGGCGAGACGCTGTGTTTGAGACTTCGTAAGTACTGTGACTCGAATTCCTCCGCTGTACGCAGCCATGTCATGCTTTGCTAAGTTTTGTCTTGCAATTGACGTGATTCGTCAGTGGTGGATGGAAACGTGTTGCCAGTCGGGCATAATGCATTCCTCAATCATCAGCTTGCCGCCAAGACGGCATGAGTGAGCATCGTTTTAAGAAACCCAAATGGGCATAAAATCCATACTGTCGGGTTCCGTTCCGGCCGACTCACGAGCCGGAATGTCGAGGGCTCGGCACCTACCTAGCTTGACAGGTATCTCCCTGGCGTATTTGATATGACCCCAGCCACATCCTAATAAGAAGTTCCGTAGGCATACACACTTAGAGGCTGGCGAATGGTGTGCGCCGGGTGACACAGTCAGTGTACTTCACCTGCAGGTCCGAACAAAAGCAGAAAGTACGGGGTGGTTGTTCATATCAGCCCCAATGATCGTCATGGTGTACGACGACGAGTCAACCGAGATTGCTGTACGGCCAAAACCCGATTCGATTCGTCTTGATAACCGACTGTGTGAT